TCTCTGTTTTTTTTTTTTTTGTACTGGGGATTGAACTCAGGGGCACTCAAGCACTGAGCCACACACCCCAGCCCTATTTCACATTTTATTTAGAGACAGGGTCTCACTGAGATACTTAGTGTCTCGCTTTTGCTGAGACTAGTTTTTTTTTTTTTTTTAAGAGAGAAAAAGAGAGAGAGAGAGAGAGAGAGAGAGAGAGAGAGAGAGAGAGAGAATTTTTAATTTTTATTTTTTAGTTTTCAGCAGACACAACATCTTTGTTTGTATGTGGTGCTGAGGATCGAACCCGGGCCACACACATGCCAGGCAAGCGTGCTACTGCTTGAGCCACATCCCCAGCCCCTGAGACTAGTTTTGAACTCACGATCCTCCTGCCTCAGTTTCTCCAGCTGCTGGGATTACAGGCATGTGCCACGGTGCCTGGCTCATCATCAGCACTTTTTATTTTTTATTTTGGGAGAGGGTCTCCCTAAGTTGCTGAGGCTGGCTTTGAACTTCCTATCCTCCTGCATCCCCTTCCTGAGTTGCTGAGGTGACAGACACTTACCACCATGCCTGGCTCCAATTCGTTTTTTTTTCTTTTTCTTTTTCTTTTTCTTTTTGTGGTGCTAGGAATTGAACCCAGGACCTTGTGCATGAGGGACAAGCACTCTAACGATTGAACTATACCCTCAGCCCAATTTGGAATTTTTAATGGGGTTTTTGTGGTTGATCTCCCCCCTCCCGGTGCTGGAAATTGAACCCAGTGCCTCCCGCATGCTAAGCAAGTGTTCTTCCCCTGAGCTACCCGCCTTCCTACCTTCTATCCTGAGCAATTTTCTCTGAAGGACAAGTCTCAGAATCAAGGTCCCTCTGACTTCCCCTATTCTTTTCCTTCCCAGCGCAGGGAAAGATGTTCTGCAAAGTTCCTTTATCTGCCCAAAGTCCAGACCTGCCAAAGAGGAAATGATGACTCTGGTCCTTCCTCTGAGCCCTCCCCAACTTAGCTCCTGTCGCAGGAGGAAAGGCTGGTGTCTGCCAGCACACCTGGACACACTGCCACTGTTCTCTATTTTGGCCCCAGAGAGAACCATTTATAAACCATTATCTGTTCTTCGAGCCCAATGGACTTTGTGTCCCAGGCCACTGTATATCACCAAGCCCAAGTGAATTCTACCATTTATTATTTCTTTGAAATAACTTAATCTCTCTCCTATAGAAAAAGTGGTTTTGTACAATTCTGGATTTTCAGGCTTGTGGGTAATCAGAGTCCTGTGATTTCTTGTTTCTTTGGCATGTTAATAAATCTGTATGCCTTCTAAAAAAATTAATTAATGGATGAGTGACCTAGGCAAAGGCACTTTCTACTGGAGTTGTAGTAATTAGTCTTGGTTAGAAAAGTGATTCACTGACAAATTCACATTGCAGTATTAGTCTTAGTCCTGAGTATGCCAGATGGATTCCTTTCTATTTTGGCAAAACAGTCAAACTGAGACCCAGGGACATGCCCCTTTAAGTCTTGCTAATCTAACACAAAAAAACATTGAATCAACAGGTTTTATTCTTGCCACCTTCAAGATATTGCTTCTCTCCACAAAACAAGACAAAGTGGGTAATCTTTTGCCAGCATTAAGATTAATTGAATAATGTAAATTCCAGTTCATTTAGTTTTCAAGTTATTGGATTTTTTTTTTTTTTGATGGAGGCTCTGGAGATTGAACTCAGGGGCACTTGACCACTGAGCCACATCCCCAGTCCTATTTTGTATTTTATTTAGAGACAGAGTCTCACTGAGTTGTTTAGTGCCTCACTTTTGTTGAGGCTGGCTTTGAACCGCCATCCTTCTGCCGTTGGGATTACAGATGTGCACCACTGTGCCCAGCAAAAGTTATTGGATTCTTGACCAGCATTTCAACAGATGCTCTTTTGGGGTTAAACAAACCAAGGACACAATTAGGAAGAGGAAATATTTATTATGCTTGTTTTAGCCTGGAGGATAGGTCTTCTCTTGGTTTTGAAGACTTTCTGAACATGAAGGTTAGATTGGAGGATGGTTGCCAGCCAGTCCACAAATGACAGGATTTGTGGGAAAAGAAAGTTTGCACTTTAATTTTTTAGAGTAGCTTTATTGAGTTATAATTAACACACTATTCAATTATCCCAGGGTATAATTTTGGGGGAGGGTACTAGGGTACTAGGTACTAGCAACACCCCCAGCCCCCCCCCCCTTTTTTTGGGTATTTTTTATTTAGAGACAGGGTCTCATTGAGTTGCTAAGAGCCTTGCTAAGTTGCTGAGGCTGGCTTTGAATTTGAGATCCTCTTGCTTCAGCCTCCCAAGCCATTGGGATTACAGGTATGAGCCACTGTGCCTGGCAAAGTGTGCACACATATTTTTTAGTTTATTCACCAGTGTGCAACTATCACTACAATCATATTTTGAGCATTTCATCACTTCCAGAGGCAACCTATATTCTTCAGCAGTCACCCTTCATTCCTCTCACCTCTTCTCCCCATGAAGTTCTAGGTAACCACTAAGCTACTTTATAGATTTGTGTGTTCTGGACTTTTCATATATGTGAAATCATATATTACGTGGTCTTTTGTGATTGCACGTAATCATGAGTCATGCTAGCTCCTGCTCACAAAGCAAGCACAAATGTGAAGAAATGTTCAATTGCTCCTAAGTGGCTTAAATCATTTGGCCCATGTGACCCTGCCAGACGGTCATTTCCAACCAGGCTTTGCCAAAGTCGATTAATTACAGAACTGTTGTCTCAATTCTTTCTCTTTCCAATCTTTTAGCAACAAAATATCTTTTTCCTATTGACTGAGGACAAATAGAAAAAGAAAATCCCATGTAAATCCAGCTTGGGTTGGAGGATCAAGAGTGTTGGCTTAGATGTTAGTGATTTGCTTTTGAATCTGCTCTCATAATATAGTCCTCAGAGTCTGAGGTTTCAGCATCCATGATAATGTCAGAGGGAGTCTTTGCAACTTGCTGAGCATATATAATCTTTTCTTTTACTTTAAATGACTTGATGTTGTCAAAACAAGGACTCACACCATAGTGGTGTTTGCCTATAAATCCCAGAGACTTGGGAGGTTGAGGCGGGAGGATTGCAAGTTTGAGGCCAGTCTCAGGCCATAAGCAACTTAGTAAGTGTAAGTGTAAGTGCATGGCACACAATTGTTGGAGGCCGGAGACAGGAAACCTCGGATCAGCAAGCTTTCCTTTATTTTGCAGCAAAGCCAATCATCAGGCACGGGAGATCTCATTTTATGGGTACGGAGATGACCCCCCCCCCCAGGTTACAGAAGGAATCTGGGTTTTTACAAAGAGGGCGGATTAATCACTGGAGACTGTAGGCGTGCAGTTTGGACAGTTAGGGACCAACTTGTGCAGGCTAAAATTTTAACTCAGGAAGTTAGTTGTAAAAAGTTTGAAACTCCTTGTCAGTGGGAAAAGCTCACAACTCGGTGTTCACTGCTTATCTTCCTTCCTCTGGGACTCACTGTTACTGAGAGCTTCACTATTTGCTTTTCTCCTTCCAGGACTCATCTGCAACAGGAAAGGGTAAAGGTCCAGGGCCCAGTGTTTCAGTATTCGCCTCCTCCCTTCAGGACCCACTGGGGTTGGGAAGGGGTAAATGTTTGGTTTTGGTGGAGCTGCTGGGCATGAACCTGGGAAGGGATGAAAGTTTGATTTTTCCGTCAGGACCCTTTATTACTGGGAAAGGATGTACTGGGAGAGGCTTAATGTGTGGCTAATTTCCCTCCCTCTTCCCAAGTCACACTGTCCCTCTGTTTTTCCTGGGGAATATTATTTTTCATATTTCTTCAGCAAGACCCTGTCTCCAAATAAAAAAAAATGAAAAGGGCTGGGGATATAGTTAGTGGCCATATGGAAGAGAACTAAGATGCCCTTGGTGATAAAGTGGCCCGGGGTTCAATCCACAGAACCTCCCCCCAATAACAGCAAAAAACAGAAAACAAACAAACAAACAACAAAACAAAACAAAACAAGGACTCAGTATTCAAACAGATATGGGCACACAAGTCATGGAGCAGAGACTGTGCAGGTGATTGAAATTTGGGTCAAATTCATAGGAACAAAATAGCTTGAATGCTACTTCAGAACGTGTCTGTGAAATGGCATTTCACATCCACAAGGAGAAGTTTGATCGCCTAACTTCCCTGGTTAGAACTTTCCTCTTGGTGAAGTACATTGACCATATTTATTACAGAATCACTCACGATCTTGTCCTTGTTGGGAAACAGTCAGTACTTGATCATTACCTAGGCAGCCAAATGCACTTGGGGCAGTACTAGATGTGACAATGCTCTCCTGATGTTCTCCTTTCCCCCAGATTTTGTTCCCAATCCTTTGATGCCAATCCCCATGGTCTTCTTGGAGGTCCCCTCCATCCCACTCTTAGGCTCTCCTCAACAAAACCTTGTTCATCTTTTGGGACTGAGTTCAAGCTCCACTCTTCTCTGGAGTCTTCCCCAAATCCCTCTGATTTGGGTTTTCTCAGTGAAAAACACACCATAATATTTTGCAGCGCCTTCCATCGAAAGGAAGAGGTTATTTCCTTATTCTGTGGATCTGGATAGACCTTATCACTTATTTGGATCACTCCAATGTGGCAGAAATGATGCCAGCCAAGTCCCAGGGCCTGGGCCCTATGAGCCTGCGAATGTCCTCTTTTGCCTTCTTGGAATACTACCCTGACCCGATCCCACCGTGGAAAGCTCTGTCCAGCCTTCCAGAGAGGGAGTGGCCATGTGGAAGAGAGCCAAGGTGCCCCAGCTGACGCCACATCAACTGCCAAACATGCCAGGCCACCAGGAGACTCCATCCCATTCAAGCTCTCAGAAGACCCCAGCCCCACGAATGTGCCCAGGCAAGCGGAGGGGACACTCGCATTTGAACTCAGCCCAAACACAGAATCATGAGCAAATCAACGGTTGTGGTTTTAAGTAACAAAATATTGGGGTGGCTTGTTATGCAGCAGTAGATAACCAATAACAACAGCTTATTTTTATTAGTGTTTGTGAAGGTCATGTGTCTAAAGGAGATCATGGGAAACTGTTTAGGAAGGAAAAGTTCTCAGAGGAGATATCATCTTTCCCCTGCCTTCTTTATTCAATTAACTCCTATTCACTATTGAGGTCTCATATGAGATAACCTTATTTCAGAAAGTCCCTGACTACCCAGAGATGGTGTAAGTGACTTTTTGATGGATTCCGTCACTCACGCATTATAGTATGTTTTAAACTTTATAATGTAAATTAAATGTAATTTCCTAGTTTCCCTGGTCGGTTTTCCCTGTGAAGTCCTGAGCAGGCCCAGACAGAGCCCATCGTAAGCTGCAGTCATTGAACACTCAGAATCTGGCACAGCCTGTGACATCTATGGAAGAATTTTTCTGCTTATGGATCGGGAAGTCTGGACAGAGCTTTACAGGTCATCGAAGATTTATTGATGTTCTCCACCTATTCCATTGTGGGTCAGTGCTGGTGGGACAAAGCTTTTCCTTATCGTGGAATAAACTACCTGTGCACTAAGGCTAGTTTTTGTTTCTAAGGCTACATCTGACTACTAGAGCTAGAAAGAAAAAAATCCCCTGCAGGTTCTTGCTCTCCTTTAATCACCTCTCTTTTAGCAGAGGGAAAGAATCACAGCTGAAGACTCTGGGCGTATCTGACCTTGAATACGGGGTCGTACTGACCTCTCTTCTCTGATTGACAAAACCCAGACCCATAAGCAGAAAATGTATCTTAAAATGTCATAATAAGAATCTAGCACCATCAGGGGAGCGGGGTGAGATGATCACTTCCATCCTTTAGAACTTTGTTCTTTTCTTAATGCAAATTAAGCACATCCAAATTTGTTGATTATAACAGCCCTGTGGCCATCAGTAACATACATGAAGAGAGAATTCTGGGTCAGACTTCTTTGAAACTAAGAATGCACAATTCATTTTTATTGATTAATCCTTTTAAGAACAAATAAGCTATTTTCATGAAACTTTAAAAAATGTAGGTGGTGCGAGGCATTTGAAATGCTGTTGTGATGATGGCAATCTGGCTTCTTGGGCAGAACTTGTGACACTTCATGTTGCCTAGAATTTCACTCCATTCTGTTTAACTAGGGATTGTCTTTTGTGGGAAATTTTCTACACAGCACTTGACAAGCTTCTTTAATTAGACTGGATCCTATTTGTAGAAGGAAAACAATTGCAGTTGAATTCAGAGAACTGAATAGTCTTGTTTTCCCAGTACTGTAGGAAATGCTGAGACAAAGAATGGGTGTAGAATTAAAGAAATTTGGACTAATGTGTCTTTTCTACCACTAGTAGTTGTATGAGAATGGAGAAGTGACTACACTGAATGAAGAAGTGAGGAGAAGAGTCAATTTCCGTCGCAGCTCCTGGCCCTGCCAGCACCTGCTCTGCCCTCTTTGTAGTTTCCTCCAGGTCCTGGATGTGTGGGGTACAACTTTGCCAGCGCATTGCAGTGGACGTGGGTAGATCCTGCCACCCAACCTGTAATTTAATGAGCAACATCCCTAGTGACTTGTGTTTAACGTAGGAAATAAGGAACGAAGGCAAGATCCCTCTGAATCTTCAGAGTTGGTAGTGCAGGGGTCTTGTGTAAGGTGGGGTTTAAAAGAGCCACATCTGGCACTGGGGTAGCTCAGCAGGAGAGCTCTTGCCTAGCATGCAAGAAGTCCTGGATTGAACGCGTCACACACACACACACACACGTGCAATACCTATATATAGGTAACAGGGCCTCTCAGTGATGAAGGCAGAAGCGTGTGTACTTCTGGAGGGTGCAAAGGGCTGGCGCTCATCGGGAGATGCTCTTGGAATTAGCCCCTTATCCTCAACCTGTTTGTCCCGACGTGGCTGGTTGTAGCATCGGTGGGCCGATGCTGCCATCTGGTGGTGAATGCTCGCGGTAAGACGCTGCAAGACCCATGAGCAGGCTTCCTGGATTCTCAACAGGCTGGATTCTGCTTTTGGAAGAGAATTAAGCGATTTTATCAGAAAGTAATTGTAATGTTTTATAAATTGGAACAAAGATAGATGTATGATGGAGTAAAATGTATACTAGATTTATTTATTTAGCAGGGCTGGGGACTGCATCCAGGACTTCGTGCAAACCAGGCGAGCCCTCCACCTCTGAGCTACAACCCCAGTCTCATTACCTTTAGGTTTTAAAATTTTTCTTCTTTTGTCATCTCTCAGAATGCCAAGTCACTTAATGCTGTCTATCCAAACCCCTTATAAACCTGTTCACTAGGCTTTGCAATGTGCCTACTTAAGAAAATCAAATCCCATACCTTTATAATACAGGCGTACACACATACTAAACTAACAAAAGCACAAGATGAACTTTTCTATTTACTTTTCCAACAAAAGCACAAGATGAACTTTTCTATTTACTTTCCCCTTCCCCTTCCCCTTCTTGCAGGGCTAGGGCCCATTACAGGCTAGGCAAGCCCTCTACTACTGAGCAACAACCCCAACCCAGAACAAAATTATTTTCTGTTTTGAGCCCATATCTTGAAAGGTTGGGGCTAACTGTGAGCTCCCAAGAATAATTTTGCATAGTGTTCCCTAAGCTTGTTTTGTAGCAGCCGTGGCTAATTCTGTATGCATAACATCTGTAGCATAACTCTTTGTATGCTATGATTTGGGGGTTTGCTGAGGTAGCAGGTGGACATCCTGGAGGAAACATGGAGTTTAGAGAGTTAATTCTATAGACTGAGCTATGTGCTCTCAGCCTTTGAAGCAATTCACATAAGGCCATTCCAACTCAGGCTTAGGAAGATAACGGTTATGCTACAACTCTTGACTAACAAGCTTGTGGTTTTTAGGGTTGCTCCTCCTTCTTAAGAGTTGAGGAATATCTGTCCAAAAACTCCTCCATTGGTAACAACAACAACAAACAAACAAAACAAAACAAAAACAAACATGTTACCTGATCCAGGCTGGACCTGGTTGAAAGAGAGCCTTTGTGATCTTTACACAAATCAAAATAACCAAGAGCTGCCTTTAGGTAGAAACTTGGGCAGTAGAGTCTTAAAAATTGGATATCATCCTACTGTCAGTCGGAAGTTAAGAGGTAGTGCTTGCGTGGAATTCTCCAGAAACCTTCTCTCCCATCCCAATAAAACTGAGCTCACAAAGAAGTGAACACCTTGAGGATGTACCCCTGCCCCTTCTTTTTCTTCTAATAAACTTTGCTATACTTTTACTAAGTCTCGCACCTGCTTGAAATCCCCTCATGTGAAGATACAGGAGCTGAGAACACAATGCAAACTCAAGTGAGATCCCATCTCAGGTGAGATCTGTCTATCTCAGGTACCATCTCATCTTCATCATAATCTGGTGCTGTGACTCGGTCTGATAAATGATAAGGCCATCGTGGGAGGTTTCCACTTAAACTCCTTTGTGTTTCTGACTCACAAGATTTCTTCGCCTCCTCCCCCTTACCTTTTTCTTATTGCCAAACTCAACTTCTTTTCCTCCTCAAAGAAATTGCCTCTCTTTCTTTTTCTTTCCCGTGTGATCTTTGGAAGGCACAAGTTGGGCTTTGGAGTGGAGTCGACAGCACTAGATCCTTGGGGATGCTTCAGGGTTCTCGGAACACTCCTGGGGGAAATGGGGACTCCTGCTTCTGGGTTGTGTGGTTCTTCATGAAACCAGGGATGATGCCTGCTTCCGGACTGAAATAGGATCCTGCACTGGACTAGGATCACACTGTCCAAGATCTCATGATATCATTTGAAAGCCAAGAGATGCCTTGCCAAAGCATGGACTTGTCTTTCTTTTTTTTTTTTTCCGACAGGAAATGAAGGCTAGATGATGTGCTTGGTCTTTCTTTTATACTGAAGTTACATGGTTAATTGCGAAAGCAGTTAACTGTAGCTTCTGCTCTTCTCTTTATTTTATTTTCCCCTCTTTCTCTTTCTCTTACTGTGGACACCAAGATTATTTATTATTCAGGATTTTATCTTGACCAGGGCTTAGCTGGAATGTATACATCTGTGCATTAACTCCTACACTGTCTCAGACCAAAGAGAACAAAGTGTCTTTTAAAATTCAAGCTGCTGCAAGACTTAAACCAGTGATCTTAATTTGTTTCATTATGCTGCAAAGTATTATTTGGATCCCTTTCTGTCTGTTTTCTCTCTCTTAACAAAGGTCTTCTAAAACATTTTCTCCTGTTGTTTACTTCCTTGTTCTCTGAGGAGCTAATGATTGAATTCTAGGGCTTTTTATCTTAACCCCTTTGTGACAAAAAAAGGGGGAGACAGAGTGTCCTTGGTGGACACCCGGTGGCACAGAAACTCATAGTAAAAACTTGAGCTAAAGAAACTTTGTATCATTTGGCTGGAGGTCTTTTTGATTTGCCAGCCACCCCCACTACAACCTTGTGGATTCTCACACTCTAAAATATTGGGACTGATGCTAATCTGATTCCAAGTGCACTTTGGTCTAATATAAGTGTGCTCCATGTTCTTTTACTAGAGACAACGTAGCTGTTTCATTCTTTGGCAAAAACATCTACCTTTTTGAGCTAATGATTTTTCTGGGTAAATTCACCTTTGGTTCTGCACGACTAAATTCATATACTTTTGTTCCGATTTATTTTGTTTTGTCTATGTGGCGAGCGAGAAATGAAGACCGAGACCAGACAGAGATCCACCCAAAAGTTTGTTTGTCAAAGCTGACAAATAAAGGCCATCGTGTTGTAGGGACCGATGAGGCAAGGCTGAAGATAGCAGGAAACAGTTTTATTTGGCTGCAGCCAGGTTCAGAGGGCACAGCTTTTGCTGTAATCAATCAATCCCCTGAACCCCGAGTTCAGGTAGTTTCAGAATTTTATACCCAGCGTGTAAGAGGAGAGGCTCAGAAGTTCACAGTCTGCAGAAATTCAAACAAAAGCATTTTTTTTTCTTATTGTTCTGGGAAAGTTACAACACTCTGGGGAAATGGGGACTCCTGTCCCTTCAAGGACAACACCTGAGAAGGGGTGAGCTGCTTCTCCCCTTTCTTTCCTCCCCCTGCCAGCTGTTACCATGAAACTTCTCTTATCTTAGAAATGTAGACATCTCTGTGAAGCCCCAGCTCAAGGCCAGAGGCCTTGTTTACACATTCCTACAAATTACCATACTGGATACATGTTTGTGAGAAGCTAGTAAGGGGGTGGCCAGCACCTGGAGTGCTGATTTCTTCCCAGCCAGTGGCCAAGTAAAACAGGGCAACGCGAAAATAGGAAGTTTATCTACACTGAACTCTTTGGTAGAGACTCTTTTGCTGACAGTCCTAAAATCAGCCATGATGAAGATTTCTGGAGAAGCCCAGTTAAGACTTTTCTGTGAAGAAAGGGGTGCTACTACAATCTCTCTATAGGAGGGAGAGAGGCCCCAAGATGATTGGGGCTTCAGCTTTTGTGGGGTAGGGGTTTGGAGTTGTAGCTGTGGCATTATGGGATAAGCTGGGGGTGCTTGCATCAGAGCTAGGTGGGTGGGAATAGCATGGGATTGGCTTAGGGTTATGGTACCATGGGGTAGGTCACTTATGGGGTGAGGGAGTTCGGGTAAGAGGAAGTACAGGAAACTTATAAGATGGCGGTTAACGTTTAAGATGGCTGCTCAGATGTTAAATCAATACCCTGCACTGCCCCAGACATACGTTCCTGTATAGGACTTCCCCATGTCTCTGTCATGTGATAAAAGTCTACAGCAGTCTCTGTTTTGGTTTCTAAAAACTTAAATCTGACAGACATTCTGTGTAATAAACATCTGTAACTCTCTTGTCCCCTACCTGTGGGGACCTAATACCTGGTAAATCAACCACAAAATTTCGTTTTTTATTTTTATGTATGTTTGTATGTATGTGTATCATCTATTGTGCCTACATGGTACCAAATTAGCTTATAGATAATTGCATGCTCAGAAATATAAAAAGACATAAGTCAAATTTAAATTGGCTGGTAAGATAGAAGTAAAGATGTCTTTAAAGGTCTTATTTTACACATTTTTTTTTTCCAGGTAGATAACCAGTCAGGGCTGTATCTGTCTCTGTTAAACTGTTTAAAATTCAATGTCCATGGTTTATAGAGTTTTTCTTTGACCGAGAAATGACTTTAAATGTTAACTATGCTTGTCTGATATCTTGGTTTTCATAGGTATTCTAAAAGATAAGATAAACATCTAAGTCATTTGTAAGCAAGTTAAAAACTACATCAATTGCTAAATATACACTCAAGAACTCTAAGTGTCTTGTCTAAGTGTCTAAGTTCACAAAAGATAACATATTTGGGCCTATTAAATGTTTTTTTTTTTCTATGTTTAAAATGACAAGATTTTCTTAAGATACTGCTCTGTTTTTTACAGAGAAACCCACATAGATACAGTCATCTGATCTTTGACAAAGATACCAAAAACATACACACAGAAAAGATTTTTTAAAAATCAAATGGTGCTGAGAAAATTGGTTATCCATATGTAGAAGAATGAGACTGGACCTTTATTTCTCACCCTGCACAAAAAAATCAACACTTCATATTTGAAGAAATACAAATGGCCAACAAATATATGAAAAAAATGTTCAACATCATTAGCAATTTGAGAAATGCAAATCGAAATGACACCGAAGTTTCATCTCATATCAGTCAGAATGGCAGTCATCAAGAATCAAAGAATAACAAGTGCTGAGAGGATGTACTAATTTACAATCCCACTGGTGGGATTATAAATTAGTACAACCACTATGGAAGTCAGGATGGAGGTTCCTCAAAAGACTAGGCATGGAACCACCATATGACCCAGATGTAATACCACTTGGCCTCTGTCCTAAAGAATTGAAGTCAGAATACTATAGTGATACATGCCTACTCATGTTTATAGCAGCACAATTCACAATAAACAAACTATGGAACCAGCCTAGGTGTCCATCAAAAGATGAATGGATAAAGAAAATGTGGTATATATACACAGTGGAGTTTTATTCAGTCACAAGAAAATAAAGTCACATCATTTGCGGGAAAATGGATGGAGCTTGAGAACATTATGTTAAGAGAAATAAGCCAAACTCAGAAGGTCAAGGGTTGTATGTTTTCTCTCATATGTAGAAGCTTCAAAGGAAAAAGGAAAAGAAATGTGGGGGAATCTCATGAAAATCAAAGGGAGATCAGTATAATACAGGAAAGGGACCAGGGGAGGGAGAAGGGGGGAAAAGGGAAATACTGGGGAATGATAATGGCCAAATTATATTGTTATATTGTGTACATGTGCAAATATGTAGCAATAAATCCCACCATTATGTACAACTATAATGCACCAATAAAAAATGTGTAAAAATGATACTGGTCTTCTCTTGGTAAGGTTTATAAAAACTGATCTGGAAACAAATGTTTTATGTCTTATCATTAAGATAATTTCTTGGTTATTTATTTATTTATTTTTGGTACCAGAGATTGAAACCTGAGGCAATTTACCACTGTGCCACATCCCCAGTCCTTTATATTTTTTATTTAGAGACAAGGTTGCCTGAAGTTGCTTAGAGTCTAAGTTGCTGAGACAGGCTTTGAATTTGTCATCCTCCTGCCTCAGCCTCCTCAAACCATTAGTATTACAGGTGTGAGTCACTGTGCCCATCAATTTCTTGTGTTTTCTAATGTTTTGATTAAGTTTTAATTTCTTGGGAGAACTGAGTTTTTAAATTTTTTTTTTAAATTTTTAATTTGTTATATATGACATCAGAATGCATTACAATTCATATTACACATATAGAGCACAAATATCATATCTCTGGTTGTACATGAAGTAGAGTCACATCCTTTGTGTCTTCATACATGTACTTAGGGAATGATGACCATCACATTCCACCATCTTTCCTGCCCTCTCCCTTCACTTCCCTCCCCTTTTCCCTTTTGCCCTTTCTAGAGTTCATTTAATCCTCCCACCCCTACCCCCTGGCAGCATATTATGAATCAGCATCTTTAAATCAGAGAAATCATTCAGCATTTGATTTTCTGGGATTGGCTAATTTCACTTAGCATTATATTCTCCAGCTCCATCCATCTACCTGCAAATGCCATGATTTTATTCTCTTTTAATGCTGAATAATCTTCCATTGTGTATATGTGCCACATTTTCTTTATCCATTCATCTACTGAAGGGCATCTAGGTTGGTTTCACAGTTTAGCTATTGTAAATTTGTGCTGCTATAAACGTTGATGTGGCCGTGTCTCTGTAATATGCTGTTTTTAAGTCCTTTGGGTATCAAAATCCCAATGACATTCCTCATAGAAATAGAAAAAGCAGTCATGAAATTCATCTGGAAAAATAAGAGACCCAGAATAGCTAAAGCAATCCTTAGCAAGATGAGTGAAGCAGGTGGCATCACTATACCAGACCTTAAACTTTACTACAGAGCAATAGTAACACAAACAACATGGTATTGGCACCAAAATAGACTTGTAGAACAATGGTACAGAATAAAGGACACAGAGACTAACACACATAATTACAGTTATTTTATATTTGACAAAGGTGCCAAAAATGTATATTGGAGAAAAGATAATCTCTTCAACAAATGGTGCTGAGAAATTTGAAATCCATATGCAACAGAATGAAATTAACCCCCTATCTCTCACCATGCACAAAACTCAACTCAATGTGGATCAAGAATCTAGGAATTAAACCCGAGACACTGCATCTACTAGAAGAAAAAGTAGGCCCAAATCTCCATCATGTCAGATTAGGCCCCAACTTCTTA